TGTGGGGTTCCCTCTTCCCCTTAACCCCACACAACCCCAGGTTTGGTCAGGAAGAGTGGGTGGAGGGGACACCACCAACAAAAGACACCACTATCCACAGAATAAAGACCAGATGCCTCAACTGTTATGGGAAAAGACACAAAATGGGAAGTCTGGGAACTCAATGTATTTATCTGATATTGGCAAAGGAGGATTGAAAACTTGTCATTGAGGGCATAAAATCTCCAAAAGCTCAGAGCAGGCAGAATATTAAGACTAGCTGATCTGCTGCTCCTGTATTGTGCCGAAAGTATATCTTTCTTTAATTAAAAAAAAAAAAAAGTCGATGGATTTCACTATTCCTCACCTGAATTCACTCCCCCTAGTATGACAAGAACTGAGGATACCAGAATTAGGGCTTCCTCTGATAAGAAGGTTGCTTTGTGTCGCCATCACCTCAATGGCAGTAAGTTTGACTTTTCGATCTGTTAATAGGACTACTCAAAATGAGAAGAAACAGCTGAAAAACTCCATTAATAATTGGAAAATGGAATGTATGAAGTATGAATCCAAGGAAATCAGAAGTCAAAAATGAAATGGAACACATAAAAATCAATATCCTAGGCATTGTGATATGAACTGAAATAGACTGGTATTGGCCATTTTGAACCAGACAAATCACATGGTTTACTATTCTGGGAATGATAAATGTTAGAGGAATGGCTTTGAATTCTTCCTCCAAAAGAACATTGCAAGATTTAACTTCAAGCACAATGCTGTCTGTAATAATATCTAAATGCTCTCAAGAAGTTACTCAAATTTATGCACCAACCACTAAATCTAGTGAGAAAGAAGTTGAAGAATTCTACCAACTTCTTCAATCTGAAATTGCTCTTACAATCAAGATACATTAATAATTACTAGGGATTAGAATGTGAATATTAGAAACAAAAAGAAAAGATCAATGGCTGGCCTAGTGGTTATGTACCATGTTCCAATCTGCAAGGTCAGCAGTTAGAAACCACCAGCAGCTCCATGGGAGAAAGATGGGGCTTTCTACTCCTGTAAACCGTTATAGTCTCAAAAGCTCACATCTATCCTTTCTTATCGGGTCACTATGAGTCAGTATTGACTGTGGTAGTGAGTTTGGTTTGGGTTTGTGGTTTGTGGATAGAAATGGTGGTGATCACATGATAGAATTTTGCAAGAGCAATGACTTATTACAAAGACCTTTTTCAACAACATAAGTGGGAACCACACACATGGATCTCTTCAAATGGAATACATAGTTATCAAATTAGCTTCATCTGTGGGAAGAGACCAGGGAGAAGCTCAATTTTAGCCAGAATAAGGCCAAGGGTCAACTGTGAAACAGAACATCCATTGTTTTTCTGCAAGTTTAGGTTGAAGTTGAAGAATATTTAAAGAACTCTGTGGGAGCCAAAATATGACCTGGAGTATAGCCACCTAAAATTGAGACATTTCAATAAGAAGTTTGATGTATTGAACACTAATGACAAAGACCAGAAGAGTTGTGGTATGACACCAAGGATCTCGTACATGACGAAAGCAAAATGTCCTTCAAAAGACAAAAACAAGAGACTAAAGTGGGTGTCTGAAGAGACTCTGAAACTAAAGTGGATGGAGGATATGAAGAAGTAAAAGAACTTAACAGAAAAAAATTAAGGGAAGCTTAAGAGGAAAAGGCAATATAATCAAATGTGAAACGACCTGGAGTTTAAAAAAAAGGGGGGGGGGAGAGCACACTCAGCATTTTTTTTTTTCACTCAGCATTTTTTAAGTTGAAAGAAGGGGAGAAAAAAATGGAAGCCTTGAGCTGCAATTCTGAAAGATTCTATGGGCAAAATACCGGACGATGCAGGAAGCATCAAATGAAGGTGGAAGGACACCGTCACTGTACCAGGAAGAATTGTTCTGCAGTCAACCATTCAAGAGGCAGCATTAAGAACCCACGGTGTTAAAGCAAGAAGGCCAAACTTCAGTGAAGGCAAATTAGCAAGTACAAGGCTTAAGGAATTGATTGAAAAAATACCAATGGAAATATTTCAATAAATTGATGCAGCACTGTAAGCATTCATTAGTCTATGCCAAGAAACTTGGAAGGCATTTATCTGCCCAAATTACTATAAGAGATCCGTATTTGTGCCCATTCCAAACAAAGGTGATCCAACAGAATGTGGAAATTATCAAACAATAGCATTACTATCACAAGCAAGTAAATGTTTACTGAAGATGATTTTTTTTTAATTATTTTATTAGGGGCTCATACAACTCATCACAATCCATACACACATCAATTGTGTAAAGCACAATTGTACATTCATTGCCCTCATCATTCTCAAAACATTTTCTCTCCACTTAAGCCCCCGGCATTAGGTCCTCATTTACCCCTCCTGAAGATGATTTTACAATGGTTGCAGCAATACCTCAATTAGGATCTGCCAGAAACTCAAGCCAGATTCAGAAAAGAATATAGAACATTGTTGATGTCAAATAGATTTTGGCTGAATGCAGAGAATATCAGAATGATGTTACTTTGTGTTTTGTTGATTTTGTAAAAGCAATCAACTATGTGGACCATAACATAGTATAGACAACATTGTGAAGAATGGGAATCGCAGAGCACTTAATCATAGCATGTAGAACCTGTACAAAATCCAAGAAACAGTTGTTTGAATAGAACAAGGTGATAATGCAGGACTTAAAATCAAGATGTGTGTCATGGTTGCATCCTTTCACCATATGTATTCAATCTGTTTGCTGAGCAAATAATCCAAGATCATTATGATTGGAGGAAGCATTATGATGGGAGCAAGGCTCATTAACAATCCATGATATGTACATCACACATATGTTTGCTGTAAGTCAAGTGGACTGGGTATATTTACCAATGAAAATGAAAGACAATGGCCTTCAGAATGAATAAATAACACTATAATATAAAGAAAATAAATCACAACTAGACCAACGAATACGCATAATGGAGAAAAGACTGAAGCTATCAAAGATTTCATTTTACTTGGTCCACCATCAACAGTCATGGAAGCAGCAGTCAAATCAAATGACATATTACAATGGGAAAATCTGGGCCAAAATGCCTGTTTAATGTGCTCAATAGGAAGGGTGTCCCTTTGAGGCATAAAATGCACCTGACCCAAGTCATGGTATTTTCAATCTCCACACATGCATGTAAAAGCTAAATAATGAATAAGAAAAATTAAAGATTTGATGTCTCTAATTATGGAGCCCTGGTGGTGTAATGGTTACAAGTTGGGCTGCTAACCACAAGGTCAGCAGTTAGAAAACACCAGCTGCTGCTTTTTGCTCTTTCTCTCATGAAGAGTTAGTCTCAGAAACCAACAGGGGCAGTTCTATCCTGTCCTACAGGGTGAAATGACATGATGGCAGGGAGGTGTTTTGTTTTTTAATTATGATGTTGATGAGTATTAAATACATTATGGACTGCCAGAAGAATGAAAAAATTTGTATTGGAAGAAGTACAGTCAGAGTTCTTCTTAGAAACTAGGCTAAAGAGTTTGGACTTATTACCACAAAGGACCAGTCCCTGAAGAAGGATCTCATGCCTGGTAGAGGGTTAGACAAAGGGAATGGATTGACACAGTGTCGACAACAATGGGCTCAAATTTAACAATTGTGAGGATGGTGCAGGATCGGGCTGTGTTTTTTTCTGTTAGACTAGAGTGGCTATGAATTGAACTGACGGGGCACTGAACAACACCGAGAGCTTTGTATGGTCTGGGTTCTGCCAGTCTGCCTAAGTTATCTAATACCATCTCACTGTTGGCCATTATGCTCCAGCCAAAGAGATCTATTGTCTCATTGACTTCAGTAAGAGCCTTCCTTCCTTCCTTCCTCAAGCTGTACTTGCTGCCTCTTTGGGCTGTAATACTTATCCCATGTGCAAGTCTGGGTTTTTGTTATAAGTTTCTCATTTGAAACCTCACGTCATCAGACATTCCTGGTGTTGCCAATCTAAACTTAATCTCCGTCGTTTGACCCTAACTTAATTTTCTGCAAAGCTCATACACCCGCTATTTAGTTTGTTACCCAGGTTTATCACTGCATCATCAGGAAGTACATCGTCTGACATATAATTGACATATGACACAATTATTTGTTGAATGACTCCAAAAGCGCCTACGATGTTCTAGGTTTGTTCCCATCTGTGAGGGTTCTACTCTCTATCTCAGTAAGATACTTCCAAAGATTGTAAAATTCCATACTGTGAATTAGCAAGATGCAAGTTGTACCCCAACCCTTCTGTAACCATCCTTCCAATAATTTCTAACCTTACCCTTGGAAACATTCGTGAAGAAGCGATTTGGAAATTTTAGGATCGTTACTATGTATGGTCTTTTGCCAAATTTCGTTGGCTTCCTCAGCAAAAGCAGCAGCTGAGAAGGGAGGTCGGAGTTAGCCTGAGCTGCCAGCCAAGGGCAAGCTGCAATGGCTCTAGCGGCAGGTCCACAGCACTGCATTCTGGGAGTTGTAGTCCCCGGAGAGGCCTGGTCGGGCCGGATCACGGCAGTACGCTGGCAGCGGTGGTCGACGGCTGAGAAAATGCAGCTACGAAGCACCACAGTCGTTGAGCCCCCGCCTCCGCGGTTCAAGAAGCGAGCGGGAGCATCCGCACGGCAAGCCAGAAGGAACTGTCACTCTTTGAATACCTGGCTCCTCTGCGGTGGAAGGGCGGTGACACCACCGCCATCTTAACTCCCAGCCGGCCTGAGGCGCGGCGGCCGGGAACCAGAGCGCAGGCGGGAAGCTCTCCGCGCCAGGCAGGCCCCGCCCACGGGGCGCCTAGCGCCCGCCCCTCGCCTAAGCCCCGCCTTTCCCCACGTGTCTGCTGCCTAGGGGAGGTGCTTGAGCCGGTGCGGGCCGCCAGCGGTCCGGCCCGGTCGGCGCTGAGGGTCCAGTCGGTGGCCCCCGGGACGGCCCGGCTGCCCGATGCCCTAGCGTCGGCTGCCGCGGCCGGGCTATCTGCTTCGTGCCGGGTTCGGGCCTTCGGAAGCCCCGGCGGGGCTGGGAGCGGCCTCCGGCCCCGTGGAGACGGAGCTTGAGGACGAGGCGGCGGCCGCGGGGAGGAGGATGGGGGCTAACCAGTTAGTGGTGCTCAACGTGTACGACATGGTGAGTGCGGCCCCGGACCCCGGCCGGCGTCCTGTCACGGGGCAGCCTCGGACGCGACCCCTCGCGCTTCCTGCCGGGCGGCCCCGTCTCCAGTTGAGTCCGCGGGAGGGGCGGGGGGAGGGGAAGTAGTAGTAGTATGATTTAATCGTCGCCGCCGTCGGTGCTCCTCTTGGATCATCCCAGTGAGCCCGAGGACTTGGGCCAAGGATCCAGTGGGTTTGACCCTGTCCCACGGCCTCAGCGTGGCCCGGACCCCGGCTCTGGGCCCGACCCCTGGGCCCGACCCCTGGGCAGAGCAGCGATGCCCTTTCGGCAAAGCTTCCGCTGTGCTCCCCACCCCCACTACCTTCACCCGGGGCGGCCCCACTTTCCTGGCCAGCCTTCCCTCCCCGTTAGAGCGCTTCTTCTGAACCCACGATCTCTCTTCCCTCCACGGTCTTTAAAACGCTCTCAACCCCCTCCCCCCGTCCCGTCGCCCCCCCCCCACCGCAAGTCCAGAAAGTCAGCCGTCTTATTCTAGAATCTCTTTAAAGGTGAACAAGGGTCAGTACACTCTTGCTTCTAAAGCAACCTTATTACAATGAACGAGGCTAAAATTCACCAAGAAACTAGCCCTGCTGAATTACTTAAGAGATTGTGATGGTGCTCTTTTCCTAGATTCTGAAGACCGCTTTCCAGGTGATGCAACAGGTAGATGACGTGACAGCAGGAGAGGGATGGGGAAAACTTGACGATTATGCCATCTACCTTACTGAGCTGCCTTAACATTGCAAGTGAGATATTCTAAGCCAAAGCACCAGTAGGATATGGTTGCAGTTAGATGTGTGGTTGTGTTACTTTGCTCTGGGCTGAGTAGTTTTGGTTTTGTAAAATGGTTACTCTCCCAACGAGGTTTTAAAGTTTTTGTTAATGAATTGTCAAATGAAAAACTACGAATCATTTTCGTTGGCGTAAAGATGCAGAAACGCTACAGGCCAGCATTACTGATGCTCATTAACATATCTGAAATACACCAAATGTTTCCAAACTAAGCTCTTGCTTCCTCTGTATTGTTTATACATTTCTAAATATACAGTGTAGTGTCTCCATGGTAGACCTGGGAACTGTATCAGGAGGGCTAGGGACTTCCTGAAATTAAATAAAGCTTTATTTGAGTTGTGGTGTGAGTGTGAAGGTGAAAAGATGTTAGGAGACTGATGAACATGATCGAATAATTTACAGAAAAGCATCTGAAACTAAAGATGCTAGAAAAGTGTGATATTTCATAAGGTCCTTGGCCTATGTCATGAATTGAGAAATAATTCTCTAGATTCAAACATTTTGTGTTCAAGACTTTATTATTACCTTTATACTGTTCCTGCGCCTCCCCTAACTTCCAGAGTGATGAGTATAATTACTTTTTTTTATGAAGTCTCTTACAAACCATACTTCAAAAGAGCACAGGTTAGAATACTTTTTCTTCTAGATTATTTACACTCACACACACACATATTATATATATTCTTACCCCTGTAAGAATAGGCAGTGGCCAGAGGCCACAGTTTCTGGCTTTAAAAGAATGAGGGTTATGGAAGAGAGAAATTGGGTTTGGTTTTGTTTTTTAGGTACAGATGTACTATAAATCAGGGAAATTATTGCTAATTATAAACATGGGAAAGGCTAGTGATGACATGTACGCCAGTTTATTTTAAAGGGAGGAGTGCTTTAAAACCAATTAAAATATTTGATAAGACACTTACCAAAGATATCCTCATATCACTTTGGCAAAATAGGTTCTTAGTGGGAAAGCAGGTAAAGACAAGACCTGCCCAGAGAACTAAAAATAGAATCTATAATTTCTAGACTACAATTTGATTCTTTATCTTCTCTTGTGAATGATTTCCACCTTTATTTCTTCCATATGACTTCTTCCTAACATTTCTGGATGGTAATCAGAATGATAAATAGTTGGATTTAAGGTTTCTAAAGCCTTTGCCCTTGTACATTCTTTTGAGGGCTTTCAATCTGTTTTTGGTCCCCCTTCCAGGAATCTTAAAATTGAATTATTAATTTAACTTTGACTCTGTAAGTCACATGTATGAGTTATCCTTTCTTTTGCTACAGAATTTAGAATATGGTATGGGAATTTTTTTTTTTAAGTAACAAATGAAGACCATAGAATCATTCTGATAAGAGCCAAGAAAAGGATGCAAAGAGGACAACATGTAGGATCAAGAAATGCTGGAAAAGATCATGGTGTGAAACCTCAGAGAACTGATAAGACCTCTAGAGACTGGGAACAGAAGCATAATTCCTGGCACAGAAAAGCATACGGTGGATTTGGATAATATCAGCTGGTCGAGTACAAGGAGATACATGGGAGAAAACAAAAGGTCTGATTAGAACTTCATTCCACGGGAGCTTTTCATGAAGGACTAGGAGGATGGGGGAGGCTCCTTCCAGTCGTGTATAACTTAGTGCCACTTAGTCGATTCTGACTTAAAGCAGGCCTAGAGGGTGGAATAAAACTGCCCCTTTGGGCTTTAAATCTGTACAGGAACATAAAGCCTCATCTTCTTCCCAAGAAGCACCTGGTGGGTTTGAATCACAACTTTGCAGATAGCAGCCCAATGTGTAAGCCACTCATTATACCACCAGTGCTCCAATCGTATTCTGCATACCACTGTCATTGACTTAATTCTGACTCATAATGATCCTACGTAGTGTTTCTGAGGTTATAGTTCTTTATAGGAGCACTTAGCTTCATCTTTCTTCTTCAGAGTACCTGGTGGGTTTGAGCCACTGCTTACCCAACAGTGCTACAAGAGCTGCTTCCAATTATGCATTAAAACAAACAAACCAAATTCACTGACCCAGAGTTGATTCTGAATCCTAGGGACTCTATAAGACAGGGTAGAACTTCCCCTTTTGGTATCAGAGGATGTAAATCTATGTGGAAGCCGAAACCTTTTATCTTGAGAAGTAGCTAGCAGGTTCAGACTGCTAACCTTGAGGCTAGCCCAATGAGCAACCCATTACACCACCGTGGCTCCTGGCCCACTCGTATTCAAAACTGAAAACCAAACGCACTACTGTTAAGTTGATGCCAACTCATAGTGACCCTATGGGATAGGGTAGTAGTACTTCCGTGTGTTTCCCAAACTGTAGCACCCCCACCCCGCCACCACCCTCAGTGTTGGAAGGCTATTGATGATGTGCAGGGCTATGGGGGAGCTTCACATGCTGGAGGACAAGGCCTGGCATCTGCCTACAGGGGCAGCAGCATGGCAGATGTCTGGCCAGCAGAGAGTGGAGTCTAGGTTTGCTTGAAAGTGTGGCTCTTAGCTTTGAACTATTGACCTTGTGGTTAGCAACCCATTGGGTAACCACTATGTCACCAGGTTTTTAGCTCATTCATGTATAACCAAACCAAACTTACTGCAGTTGAAGCAATGCTAACTCATACCAACCGTGTAGGATAGGGTGGAACTGCCCCTGAGTTTCCAAGGCTGTAACTTTGCAGGAGTAGAAGTCGTCCCATCTTTCTCCTGCAGAGCAGCTAATGGTTTTGACTGTTGACCTTGAAGTTAGCAGCTCAACATACATTAGAGCACCAGGGCTCCTCCCACTCATGTACAGTGCTGCTCAATTATTGCTTGCTGCCTTCTAGTGATTATTTTTCTCTTTGTACTTTGGGGAGGAAGGATCCTTGGTGGCACTGTCTGGTGAGCATTGGGCCCTTAACCATAGATTGATTGTTCAAACCCACCAGCGGTAAAGATTTATTTATAGGTTTATTTATATATAGGGCTATATATATTTTATAGGGCTATATATATACATGGAACCACCTATATAGGGTTGCTAGTAGATGGAATCAAGTTTTTGTAATTTGAGATCATGTGTCAACAAAAACACCATGTCCTGGATTTGTTTCCTAAGTTTTTTGATATTCTTAATTACTGGCCTGCATAGCAAAGCACATGATTCAAATTCATTGAATTCCTATGACAAATTCTTGGTGTAGTCATTTTAGCAAAAGTGTAATATCTTCATAGGTCTTCATTTTTCATAGATTCAGATTTCATACTTTTGAAATTATCTTGACTGCTAATTAATTTTAGAGTCTTAATAAAGAAAAAAACTTTCTAGGACTCTTCAAATAAGGGATTAAAAAAAATCTGGGCCTTTCTTTTGATCCTCTTATTTCATAAGTTCGTGAGAGTAGTCCTGATAACATAGTGAGTTAAGTGCTGGAATGCTAACTGAAGGTTTAAAGCTACCAGCCATTCCTAGGGAGATAGATGAGGCCGTTTGCTTCCAGTCCTTCAAGATTGTGAAGTTGAGCAGGCTGGGTCAGCTCAGACTTCCCTTGTATCTGTAGGTATAACGCAGACTTCTTGACTGGTTTCCATATTCATGCATTTGAATATTAGTGCATCTCTTCACCTATATGGCTACATAATATCTCTAGATCAACATGTCCATGAACAAATTCTCCTCCCTTCCCTCCTGTCCCTAATTTATTGTTACCTACCTACCCACCCCCAAAGCAAAGCAAACATCCTCTTGTTATAATTCTCTTAGTAAATAGTATCTCATCGACTTCGTTTCCCAGGCCAGAAACCTGGAAATTCATTTTAATCCATCTTCCATTCTAATACCAATGTGATCTTTCTAAAACATAAGTGATTGCCATTTCTCTGCTTAAAATTCACATACAAGGTAAGATCTCAGGCCCTTTATGATGTTTCCCTACCTGATTGTTGAAAGCACACAACCACCAATCACCTACTGCATCCTACTCCCTTGCCCTCTGTCCATGCACACACTGTGCTCACACATGAAATGTTGAAGTTATTTGAACAGGTTGTATCCGACTAGTTCACACCTCAGCATCCTTACGTATTTTTCCCTACCTCAGCATCTTTATACATGTGAATGCTTTTGTTTGGAATGCCCTGTTTCAACAGTGACCACCTGCAACCTCTTTCCGGCTGTGGCTTAGCTGTCTTCAGACT